TTTTTTTTTTGGACTCCCTGAGTCCACATGTGTGTCAGCTCCCGGGCAGTAACATCTAACCAACCGCGCCTCCTCTACGCGCCATGAGCTAATGTCGCAGCATGTGCCTGCCAGCGCAGACAAGGGTGGCTTATGTTGCAATGTTTGATATTCTGTAGCATAGCATCTGCAGACAGGTTACTTGATCATGTTTTGGAAGGCAAAACCTGTGATATTAGATCTCTTCAAAGGGAATTCTGCTGCCACGCTACCAACGATGGTCCCTATCTTTCAGTCGTAGAGTTGACTGGACTCCGCCGTCTGTTGCAAACGCCTTCTTCAGATCAAAACGGCAGACATTCTGATCAATTTCGGGCATGGGTCCTTGAGACTTTTTTGCGCGTACCGTAACGATCAACGTGTTGATCGGTGAAACTGTTGTCAGGGCCATTTTTTCCCCCCCTCCCAGTGAGTTTTTGGGCAGAGGGGTGATATTTGACTGCCCACTGTGCTGGTTTTGAATAAGGAATAAATGACCAAAAATGACCCAAACTCCACCCCCGTAAAAAGACTAAAAAGTACAATACATCACAAACATTTATGAGAAAATTGTGAAATATTCAAAGATGTATTGTTATTCATCAGGCTAAATTGATTTTTTGTTAAAAAGAATAAATAAATAAATAAATAAATAATTTTGATAATGATAATCGTGAAGATCTCAAACATCTTTGGGACTGTATAGTGCTTGGCCGTGTATTATATTTTCTCTCCAAATACTTCTTAATTTGCTATTCATAGTTGATTACTCCCTGCTGGAACGAACGCAGTTCCAGCAAGACTTGTGTAAATATTGCACTGTAGGATCAGTCATTTATTCCGGCGAATTGTGACTACTTTTAACGATGGTTTACTGACAGTTTAGCATCGCTTCGCCTTAGAATTTATTCTCCCATGAAATACTATTCATCCTCCTTTTGTGCGAGCAATACTCGCCAGAAGCCTTCGCTTCTTTTCCGCCACGGAGGCGATGATTCATGTCTTTTAGAAGACTGCATGCTTTTTAGCTAACCTGCTAGCAAGAGCTGCGAAGCTAGTTTTGTGGGGAAGATGCAGTGATGTCAACAAATATCCAGATTGGTTGGTTGCTCCAGTCCAAATCTACTGTCAGCCAATTACAAGTCGCGGGACAGTCTCACTTGCAAACTCTTAAGTTTATTTACCGCGTATGTCATTACGCATTTATTGCATTTCCTCGTTAACAGCGGCAGACATGGTAACGGCCCATAATAAAATACGGACGCCAAACCAAAGCATAATACTTGGCATTTTAAATTTACAAAAATTTAACTCCTTTTACTATATGTTACCAAAAAAAAAACAAACAAACAAAAAACAAAAACAATTATCCATGTCAGCCTATACTAAGAAAGGATCATTTTCAACATCCTTATTTTAAGAATTTCTTCAACAAAAATCTTGCAGCGTTTTCTTGGTCTATGACTGCTTGCTTGCTTGCTCTCGTGTTGATTTTTGTAAGCGCACGTCATAGTCGTTTGTTTTCACACCCGCCGGCGCCATCCTATTTTCCACGTTGATGTCAGAAGGTAACACAAATCTGTGCGTGTGTGTGGTTGCGACAATCAAGGTCAGGAAAACATGTCCGTGTTTGTGATGCTAATTAAATAAGCTTGCAAGAAAAAAAAGATACACGGGACGTGTGAGGATGCGTTGAAAAGCAAAAAAGAAAAAAAGAAAAAATGGGGCGGACGAGCGACCAAACAAACGAGGGGTGGTCGGCAACAAATGGAAGGTGAGGTCAGATGAGGTAAAGCGCTGGATAAATAATTCCATGCGGAACATCTGAATCTTACAAGGTAACCAAACAAAGACTTGTGATTCAGAGACGTTCTGTCGGGATTTTTTTTTTTTTTTTTTTTTTTTTTTTTACCCGGTATGTGTCCCCGGCAGGTGTAGTAGAACTCGCGGCAGAAGTCCTGGCAGAGCTGGGGCAGGTCGGGCTCCCTGTGTGGCATCCTGCCGGGTTCCGACGGGTGGAACAACACTTGCGCGTTGGGGGAGCAGCGTGCGCACTTGATCTCCTCCAGCAGACGGCCGCATTCTGTGTTGTTGGTGGAGAAGATCTGGGGACCACACACACACACACACACACACACACACACACACACACACACACACACACACACACGCACACGCACATGCCACAGTCTGATTAATGTTTAGTGTTGATTAACTGTGTTGCATTGGAAAAACGGAGTGCACGACTTGGCCTGTTGGCTGTCTACACCCTGTTCCAAATGATTATGCATTTGGAATTTAAGCTAAATAAACATTTGAGCAATGGCTTGACTTGGAAACTTTTTCGCATATGTTGCTTCTCCTTGTCTGTTTCTATTTCATCGATCTCTGACAGGTTTGATCAGTGGTTTCCCCAGATGAGCCTGTTGAAAGGGAAATTGGTTGAGGAGGTCGCTCCACGTAAGTCAGCAATTGACAGTTGGTATGCGTCATGCAGGGCAAAGAAAGATCTTCGTCCATGAAAACAATCTGCATTTCAAGGAAGAACATTCCACGGTGATGTTTGCGGGTAAATTAGTGTGTTCGTTGCGTATTAATGAAAAAGTCGCGCAAGTGCATTCGAGAGAGATTACTTTAGGAGGGCTTGTTCTGCTTAATTGAGAAAGTCACAAATTTGGAGCATGGTAAGAAAAACGACTCTTTCTGTTGATGACAAGCAAAGAATATTCCAAGGTCTTGCCAAAGGAATGCAAACACGGGACATCTCAACAAAATCATTGTACTTGAAAGGTGCGTTAAGGCAAGTCTTATTCACAGATGAATGCCTTGCTATCGGATGGTTCAGATGGATGGAGTTCTGGATGGTTGGCGGATGGCCAGTATGTCCCAATAAGGCTGCAAGGTCAGTCAGAAGGCTGTGGAGTGATGTTTTGAGCTACAATAAGAGGAAGTGAGATGATAGTCCTTTTCAAATGAGCTTCTGACTGACTATTTTCCTGCCATAGTACAAAAAGAACGCTTTCTTCCGCCTTCTGAAAAAGGCACCCTTTTAAGCTGTGACTTGTGGACGTTCTACGAGAGTGGATGACTCTCGGCGGGGCAACTCTTGGACCTTTAAATGGGTACGGATTTTGAGAGATGTTGAAGCACACCCATAACATTTTAAATGGACAAAAATGGACAGCAGCTCGACAGTCAAGGTAAAACACATTATAAACTATTCAATAGCAGCAATTGCAACTGTAGCCATCACTCAAACTGATGCCGTAACCAAACTGCTTGCTAGGTGTGTCATCTACTTAAAAAGAAAGATAAAAAAAAAAAAAAAACACAAATACATGCCTGGTATGTGTAAAATGGGTGTTAAAGTGTATATTTTGAGACCACACTAAACATAAAAACAGAAATTATTGCAAAAAATGGTTGGTTTGATTTCAATTTTGACCGCACCATTGATAAAAACTCAATAAACCACTTGAAGGGGACACAAATCAGCCAATTCAATGTCAACATTGTCAGATTGTGAAAAAAAAAAAAAAAAACAGCATCACTCAACAAATTGCTACTGGTTGCCTTATCGCCAGCCCCCATAAAAAAATTTATTATTATTTTTAAACGACACCCAGGTGCACAATGCGCGAAATGAAGGGGGCAGGAGGGGGGTGGAGAATTACCACCTTGACTTCGGGGGATCGTTAGCAGCCCCGAGGGTTAATCCGAAAAGAAATGAGCAGGATTATTTATGTAGCAAATTAGCTGCAATAAAACACAATGTAATCTAGTCTGGGTCAAGAGCGGGTGTCGCTCGGGCAAGCGGAGGCAGAGGCAGGCTGGCAGTACTTTGCTCTGTGTGAGGTCCATGTGTAAACACAAATGTAGAGATAGACAGGCACATCGTTTCCCTCTCTCTGGTATCAACAAATTAGCAGTCTGTCCAAGTCAATTAGCGGCGAGGACCCAAGGCCAGCATAAGGATGCCTTACACGTTTCCCTGATTGCGGAACAAACTCCACACTCGGGGGGGAGAGACGCTCTGTTTGGAAGCCGTGTTTACCGGAAAAAAAGGTAGCAAGAACCACAAGCGCCAAGCTGATTATGCTAACGTATACGGAAAATTTCGCAGAGTCCAACGTGACACCGTGGAAGCTCAAAAATTCAAACGCACTCAAAGGATGTACAAGTCGAAAGGGAGCAGAAGCTCTGGTTGATTCGATGATGCTTATGTCCCGTCCGTGTTGAGACAATTTTAAAAAGTTGCTCAAAAACTATTTACGTTAGATATGCGTGACTCGACTCGGTTGATCTAGATAAATTTATCGGAAGTTTGGCCCATACAAACTCATTGGTGAATATTTGTAACTGACACTTGTCAGAGAAGAATTTCGCCGAGCAGCAGACAAAACAAAAGGGTCGAGAAGATGTGACAGAAGAACGTAATGTTACATATGCATTTATTTAAAACTAGATTTTCTACGTGTGATATCAAATTAAAATTTCAGACCGTCCCCCGCCAAAATTTAAAAATAAATCTACGGAACCCACCTATATTTAAAATTTTTGGTACATTTTACTCATGTTGGAGAGGTCATTCCAACCAGACGTATCATTTTGGCAGACTGTTGTTTTTGGGGAATTCTCGCCACGTTGCTATGAGCATATAAATACAAATACTGTATGTTGCAAAAGATCTGTGTTCGGGAAACATGCAAGAGCTAGTCGTCAGCAATTTTGCAAGACATCAGCGCACGTCACAAGAGCTCATTTCTGCTAGCATCAAAGGTGAGCCATTTGATTTTTTTTTTTTTTTTTTTTTTTTTTGCGCCACTCATTCCGCAAAAGGACCAGCCGAGGAAAAGACAAAGAATATGCGGTGTCCAACATCAAACGTCCCAACTTGTAATCTAAGTTAACATTGCTTACGATTGCATCATAACGGTAAAGTCCGGGCAGTGGAGTTGACTACTTGGGCCACGGAGTGACCGGCAACTATAAGTAATCAGTTCTTACATTTGACGTGCGGTCTTCGTTATTCTAGTCAAGTTTTTTTTTTTTTTTTTTTTTTTAAACGAAAGGATCGTAGTGGAAGTCAAGACAATGAAGTCGACAAATTTTCCCGGTAGTGCTATTAGCTAAGCAGCAAGCTGCAGAGTGACCAGCACGTTGTCATTACCGTATTTTCCACACTAAAAGGCGCACTGGATTATGAGGCGCACCTTCAATGAATGGCCTATTTTGTCTTTTATTTCATACATTGGGCGCACCACATTATAAGACGCAATCTACAATGCATCGACTAGATGGAGGTAGGCTCAAGGAAATGCCAACAGAACGATCAGATGTCAGTAAAACTTATTTAAATTAATGAAGCAGCGACACAGTTCACTTAACCAACAGCAAGTTATAACATTGACTCGTTAACGTTGAACTCTCTTGCCGCTGCTCTATTTCCGTGTTCAACTGCGTAGCTCCATCGCCTTAAGTTTGAACCTGTTTTGGGAATTCTTTTAACAATTTGCTTGTTTTAACGCTTGTATGGCCATTATTTTTTTTTTTTAATGACTTAAAACATGGCCGGCGGAGTGCCTGAACAGAAAAACATGTTTTTAAATACGAGCATTTGTCTCCACTGCCTTAAAAGGACCGCTCAATCCCCCGCACGTGTTCCTCCGTGCGCCCTGCAGCGTGGTGGGCATGCCTGCCCTCCTGCTCTAAATTGCCTAGTGACTCCGAGTGGCGTGAGCTGGCAAAGGTTCCACGGTGAGTAGCATTGGTGCGCTCTCAGCCGTGCCCCACGTCCATATGTTGCCGGGAGAGACTCCAAATTTTCAGCATCCAGAAAGCAGAACAAACAAGCTTTGTGTTTGTCTTTTTTTTTTTTTTTAATCCACCCGCCAGTGGTCAAGCAGCAATGTAAAGAAATTGAATGACGGTGAGGTAGGTCGAACGCCTTAAAATTTGGAAAATGTGTGACAGTAGATCAGCCTTTTGTGGAGGAATAGCCTCTTAAATCTAAACATTTTGAACACCAAACGGTTATAAAGTGTGATGACAGCATATCACGCGCACCTCACTGGACCTAATTTCAACCAGCATTACAGAATTCATGTGGATGACAACCGTTGGGCATTTAAGTCTTTCTGTTGGAGCACTTTGAATGTGAATGTTTGAGTATCACATGAAGACGCAGGATGATCTTGAGCATTTGAATCAGGTGCGTTGGAGGAGGGAGACATCGAAAGCAGGCTGGATAGGGGCCCTTGAGGGACCGGACTTGGGCACCCATGCTGTAGACCACACGTGTTAAAGTCACGGTCCGGGGGCCAGATCTGGCCCGCCACACCATTTTATGTGGCCCGCAAAGCTCAAAGCAAATCGAGCATGCCAACTTCCATGATGCTTGCTAAAGTCTGAACCAAAAATATCATATTGTCATATCTAATCCATGACGACAATATCTGAACAAGCCATTATTCTTGACTTGTGATTTTAAAACAAGCTCTCCCATCAATTTGTTGTCCGCTGTGTGTATAATACGTGGAGGTGGTTCAACATTTATATGGTTTTACAAAATTCACAGTCATGACGGCCCTCCGAAGGGAAACCGTAACGACAATGTGGCCCCCGACAAAAATGAGTTTGACACCCCTGCTGTAGACTGCGAAGTTAGCTTCTCTTGCTTACCGGTAGCTTAAACTCGCAGCCACCAAGTGGCTTACTTAATATACGACTTTCAACTGAAGCTGGTGATTAGGACTTTAATTTATGTGACTCGTCACGCATTTGAGTCAATAAGTTGGGGAACTTGAGTATAGACAGACTGCCAAGTTAGCCTCGAACGCGACTGATGTCATTTTATACTTTTACAGCAGTTAGCCCCGCCACCCGCCACCAAAGAGTGTTTTAACAGAGCGGTTGACCTCAACATCGCCTGTTGAGTTAAATTTAACATTCAAACACATTTTTAACCAAATATGATCCCCTTTGCAGCAGTTTTAGGATATGCAACCACTCGCCAGACGTCTGAAAAGAACACTTGTCAATCGGTGGCAGCGGTGATGTAGGCAACACTAAGCTCCAACAAAACACTTGTCCTCGGGGGAATAGGTGTAAAGTTGGTTGGCAAAAAAAGGAGGGGGGACACTCCCAAAGGCATTACCACTTGGACGGGGTTGATGACTGGAAAGGAGAGGGTGTGAGAGGGGTGGTGGGGTGATGTTCTCCAGCTTCTCCCATTAGCGAAACCAACAAACACAATGGCCTTGTTATTCTTTGGCAATAATCAGAATGGGCTCCGTGTGTGGGCAGTGTAGCTGGGAGGAGAAGTCGACTCTTTCAAAGCCCCCCCCCCCCCAACCCTCCTCGCTTATTTGCATGACTTGAGGAAATTAAATGATGCAATAATATGGCTTTTTTTCCCCGTACTATTTGTTTACCCCCCCCCCCCCCCCCCACACACACACACACACACTACCACCCAGAGGCCCCTGAATGATTCCAGGAATAGTTTTACATGAAAATAGTCAGGCAAAGGGGGCTGAGGGGGGCATTCAAGAATGACACATTTCATGAATTTGTCAAAAGTTTATATTTTGGACTGACCTACAGTCAGTACTTCAATGAAGAGTCTGGCAAATGTTCACTAAAAATGCAGATGCAGTGAAAGGTGTTTTGTTATTTGCTTACGTTATCTTCGCCGAAGTTTCTGGGTTACGCAGAATAGTCTGGAAACCGTCGCTTAAACACGTCGTATTGGTAGTAACGTATATGATGCTGCCAAAGGTGTTAAACAGAGAGAAACAACGTTGTTCAGATCGAAGTTTATCTTCAACGGGAAAAGTATAGAAGCGGAGGGCGTTTAAGAACGTCAAGTTTGTTCCGGCATGTGATTTTGGCTCACCAAAGATGTTTCGCGTCACAAGAACAGTCTGTTAAACTTCACTTAAGACACGCACAAAGTTTCTTTAGAGTCAACAAGGACGTTGTTTAATAGTACCTTAGGTGACGTTACGTGAAAATCGCAGCGTGGAGGACCCTTGGGCACTTTAAAAACGGCAGATCTGACGAACATGTTGTGGTCTCATATTTTTGACGCACTCGACCGATTCCGCTTCATATTGTCAGCCAAAGCTCACTCGCCGTGCAGTATAACAGATAAGATGCGTGAAAAGGTGTCAAACGGGCAGAAATATGAATTATTGAGAAAGTTACTTGTTACCTCGAAGCCCGATTTCTTATCGCTTACCTTTCGCCGGTAACCCCCTGAGTAAAGCCAAACTTTGGGAGCTGTTACCTATGACAACAACCAGCCGGCGAGCCAGGCGGCAGGTAACGTAAAACGATGCCAGAGTGACGTAAACAAAACCTTTGGAAACATTCCCCCGCGCGCAATAGTCGTTTTACGGTACAACACGAGATGAGAGTCTGGAGGCGAATCACCACCCTCGAAAAGCACATTAAAACAGAATGACGAAGGTCGTAAAAGGCCCCCAACGTTGCTACTGTAAAACTTACGCGGGCATCCCTGCGCTGCGCGATCTGATATGCGGCTCTTCTGGTGGGACAGCAGGACACTCGTGGGTAGAGCCGGTGGCAAACTTCGCCTCCGCTGCCGGTGGACGCGGAGGTGGTCGTGGAGCCAGCGCCACCGCCGCCGTCCAGGAGCACTTTCCTCTCCCGCTTCTTGAGGCGCTTGGGCAGGCTGCCGTCGTAGCAGCGTCGCCGCCTGGCGCTCAGTTCGCCGCCGCGCTCGGGTCCGAATTTGGCGTCGCCACACTCCCAAACATTGACAGCGATGGCCAGCACCAGCACGAATTGCAAGTGCTTCATTGTTTTGTTTTGTTTTGAAAACAACTTTGGAGGAAGATTCAGAAAGATCCAAGCAAATAAATCCACAATATTTCCAAAAATAGGCGGATGCACCAAAAAAATACAAATAATAAAACAATCTGTTATATTAGAACGCGATGTATGTGCGAGTTTATTACATTTACAAGTACAAGCATGCTGCAGGTGTCTGTCTTCTAATAATAACAAATACGAGCCGTTTCCCAGAAAACAGCCAAAAGAAGGGAATCATTTATCCAGAAAAGCAGAGCCCTGGCGTCCCTTGCGGATGATAATGATAATAATTGTAATCCCTCGGTCTGTTGATGCATTGAGGAAAAAAATTAAACCAAGAAAACAGACAGTACAAGTTCCTTCTTCTTTTCCGCAAGTCCTCAGAAGCGCTCACATGTTTTGCCCGTGCGCTTTCCTCCTTCTTTTTAACCAGCGCGCGAGAAGAGCGCCGTGACGTTTTCGTGCCGGGGGCGCGCAGCAGTACACACGCACACACGCGCGCACGCACGCACATACATACGCGCGCACACACACACACACACACACACACACACACACACACACACACACCCACA